TCTAAAAGTGTTTGGACGCACTCTAAACGTGTTTGGACGCACTCTAAACGTGTTTGGATGCACTCTAAGTATGTTTTGATGCACTCTAAACATGTTTCGACGCACTCTAAAAATGTTTGGATGCTCTCTAAGTATATTCGGATGCACTCTAAGTATGTTTTGATGCACTCTAAAAATGTTTCGATGCACTCTAAATATGTTTGGATGCACTCTAAAAGTGTTTTGGACGCACTCTAAACGTGTTTCGACGCACTCTAAAAATGTTTAGACAAACTCTAAACGTGTTTGGAAGCACTCTAAACGTGTTTGGAAGCAACGATAAGTATGTTTGGATGCACTCTAAGTATGTTTGGATGCACTCTAAACGTGTTTGGACACACTCAAAGTGTTTTGGATGCACTCTAAGTGTGTTTGGATGCACTCTAAACATGTTTCGACGCACTCTAAAAATGTTTGGATGCTCTCTAAGCATGTTTGGATGCATTCTAAGTATGTTTTGAGGCACTCTAAACATGTTTGGATGCACTCTAAATATGTTTGGACGCACTCTAAAATATTTGGATGCACTCTAAGTATGTTTTGAGGCACACTAAACATGTTTGGATGCATTCTAAATATTTTTGGACGCACTCTAAACGTGTTTGGACGCACTCTAAAAATGTTTAGACGAACTCTAAACATGTTTCGACATACTCTAAATATGTTTCGACGCACTCTAAAAATGTTTTAATGCCCTCTAAACCTGTTTGGACGCACTCTAAACATGTTTGGTTGCACTCTAAACATGTTTCGACGCACTTTAAACATATTTCGATGCGCTCTTAATATGTTTTGACGTGCTCTAAACATGTTTCGACGAACTCTAAATATCTTTTGTTGCACTCAAAACATGTTTAAATGCATTCTTAACATGTTTCGACGCACTCTAAAAATATTTTGATGCACTCTAAAAATGTTTCGATGCACTCTAAATATGTTTGGATGCACTCTAAAAGTATTTGGATGCACTCTAAGTCTATTTTAATGCACTTTAAACATGTTTCGATGCACTCAAAACATGTTTCGACACACTCTAAATATGCATCGACGCACTCTAAAAATGTTTCGATGCACTCTAAACATGTTTGGATGCACTCTAAAAGT